TGTGTTTTATTAATTATAAATAATTTTATTTTTAATATATATATATATATATATTTGTATATATATATGAATTTATATGTATATATTAATTTAAATATATGTAGATGAATATTTGGATATTTAATAATATTTTTGAATGCTGAGTCAGCAGTTTTTTGCTGAGTCAACAATTTTTTTTGCTGAGTCAGCAGTTTTTTACTGAGTCAACAGTTGTGTTTGTTTGATTTGGAAAAAATTTAAAAGTCTGGGTATTTATGTGGGAGTTTTGAAAAGTTCAGGTATTTATATGACAATTTTATAGTTCGGATATTTATTTGGGATTTTTGTAAAAGTTCGGGTATTTTTGTAAAATACCTCTTTTCATGTCAAAAGCAACCAAAAATATTATAAAATATATAGACACATACATTTTGTGTAAAACTCTCACCAATGATAGTAAAGTTTCGGCAAATTAAAACATTAACTGTCATTGTCTTGTAATAGTAAAACTCAATAAAAATGAAATGATTTCATATATATATACATAGACACATATATATATATATATACATAGACACATTCCAATTGTCTGTGCGTTAGATGAGTGTTAGCTGGTTGGTGTCAGAATGAGACATTCCAAATACATCTTCTTCCTGAAACGTATTTTAATACAGAAGCAATGATTAAAATGGAATTTTTAAGCGATGTGCATATATATATAACTGTGTAAACAAAAATACACGTATGCACATGCCATTATACGTATACACATATGTGTGGTGTATACATATATATATATGCGTACATATGCATCCAATATTAATTAACATTTGATAGAAAAAGACATATTCCACTCAAACTAGCTATTTCGTGGATGACATTTCCTCAGTTATACGTTCTTTATATTGATTTTCTATTCTTCCCCCTTCTTTCCACTATATATATTTTTTGTTTGTTCTTTTGATAAATTTATTATTTTTTCTGTTTATTTGTTATTATATATATATACATACATATATATAAGTAGCTTCTTTCTTAACCATGCCATGTGGGCCTTAGTCATTATTGTGTAATTGAATTTTAAGAAATATATTAAATTTCAATTAAAATTCTCCTCAATGATTTCCTAATTATGCCATGTGAGGCCTAATTGCTTCTCCCTGTTTCATTTCCATGACATCAAAATCTTCTTTATTTCTTCAACTCTCTCTCTCTCTCTCTCTCTCTCTCTCTCTCTCTCTCTCTCTCTCTCAAAAACTAAAGAACAAAACACAAATTATTAATTGAAGATCTGGGAAATGCTAAAGGCATCACATTACCTCTTTTTGAAACCACCAGTTTGTGTGTTCATCAAAAAAAGAAAAGAATAATATGAGCATGTGAAGCTGATGACCAATTAGTGGAGTGGGAAGCAGTGTATATATGCGGCTATATTCATCATCATCCATTACATGTGAGAAAAAAAAAAGCATAACACATTTTCTTAAATTGCAATTGTTACAATAACAATAATATATATTTAGTGGTTTTTGTAGACGATGTACCACCGTATTAATTTATTTGGCATCCCACTGTATTAATGCTTTCAACAGTTCAATTTTTTTTAATATTATGGATATACAGATAAATAAATACATTATAAATTAGACTAATTAAGAAAAGTATGAGATACAAAAACTTTGTATACACATACACACACACATATACATATATATATATATATATATAAAGAGAAGAAACTCAATTCATGTAGACAATCAGATCTAATCTCGTCTTATTTATTATTTCTTTATGATAATTAAGAATCTTTTTCTAAATTTTATGTTTGATAGAGATGGAGAGGATGAGACACAAGGAATAAGCCAAATTAGGAAAAGAAAAAAAAAGCAAAAGCAAAAAACGCTATGTGGAGACATTCATCAGCATGGGTTATTTGTAACCTTTTGGAACCTTTTAGTTAAAGTTTGATGTCATTAGATCCATAAACTTTTCATATTCTTATTAATTACATTCCACACATATCATCTATATATATATATATATATATATATATATATTTCATTTGTACAATTTGAATTCAACACCATCTAATTAAACGGCGTGATTTAATAATGCTATAGTTTATTATGTGTGTGTGTATATATATATATATGGACAGGATCGATTTCCAGATTCGTTTGTATATCTTATTTTAAAGACGAGCTCAAAATATTATATCATCACACTAATTACGGCTTCTCTAATTATAATTATCATTTTAATATTCATTTAATAATTAATGTTAACGCATTTTCCAATTTTTTTTTATCAAATAATATTGGAGTTGAGAAAATAACAATAAATATCGTTTAAGCAATAATTAATTTGATTAAATTTTAAAAATTGTAAGTGGATTTTGTTTTTTTAGTTCCATCGGAGGAGTGGGACAGCTTACGCACGTAAGACAGAGAATCTAAGGCAGCCAATTACGTAGAATGAAAGCGACACGTCATCTCCATCAAATATTGCCACGTGTCAGTTGGTTTGTGGTTCCCCTATAATAGTTTTTTTTTGGCTTTCTTGCAACCCAAGCCACTTGATTTATTTAAGCTTTTTGTTCGGAAAATTTCATTTTGCGGTCCACCTTTTTTTTTGTTTTAAAAATTCTGTCGGTAAATATGGATAGCGACAATTTTTATCTCTTCATTCTCTTTTTTTTTTTTAATAATTGGGTGTATTGATACGAAACCCACATTAATCTCGGAGTCATGAATAAATCATGTGATTACAATATACCTTCTTCTCCCCAATTTAAAATTCGAATTCGGAATGATACATACATTTTACATTTCTATTTCATCGGTTAAACTAACCAAATTAATTTTTTTTATTGCTTTCAAAATATTTTCCCAATTTAAAACTCGAATTCGAGATGATACATACGGTTTACATCTTCATTTCATCGGTTAAACTAACCAAATTAATTTTTTTTATTGCTTTCAAAATATTTTCTAAATTTAAAACTCGAATTCGGTATGATACATACGTTTTACATCTTCATTTCATCGGTTAAACTAACTAAATTAATTTTTTTATTGCTTTCAAAAAAATTTTCCATCCGTCTTTTTCATTTTTTATGATGTGTTTTATGTTTTTAATCATTTTATATTTTTTTTTTGTATTGATGTGGATGAAAGAGATGCGTGAATCCCAAATGATAATTTTAATTAATAGTTCCACAATTTCAATTCAAAATATGAAAAAAAAAGTCTCCTTTTATTTTACTTAATATTTTAAGACATCACGATGTACAAAATTCCATCATCACCAAAAAATGAAATGTAAAAAAATGCTCAATTCCAACAACTCCACAATATAATAAAAAGTGGCAATTTCATAAACTCTTTTGCATCATATGTAGAATTCGGTCGGTATTAAATTAACCCTAATATGTTTTTTTTTTTGTATTTCACTTTTGTTTCCATATTTTTTATATTATTTCTCTCTCTATCTTTTGTTTGTAATTTATTGAATTATTTTAATCAATCAATTATTTCAACGACACTATATCGATATATACATGAATTGATGTTTCCGTTCGGATATTAAAATTCGAATTAAGTTAAAAATGAATAATATATAATTTTATTTAAATCAAATTTAAAATATATCATTTTTATAACAAACCCGTGATAAATATGAAAATAATAAGAAAAACGAACGGAATTTTTTTTTATAGAAACGAATAATTTTTTAATAAAAATTGAGTCAAGGAAAATCTGAATATAACACTGAGCAAATAATTTGATGTAGATTTTATACATAAATTTTGTAAAATAAAAAAAATAGAGTACAGAAATAACCAAGTTAAAATATTATTATTAAAAAAATAATCGAACTATAATATAACCCCCGAGACATTAACATCATTTACATACAATCTCTCCCACCTTAACATTATCTGATTATATATATTAACAAATTATTTTATATGGATGGATCCAGAAAAAGTTTTACTGAATATACCAGTAGAGGTGTCAATTTAGACTTGAGGCGTGAAATCCAACCCGGTCCAACGCGAAAAATAGCGGACTTTAGGTTTAAGTTTTTCGATTTAAAAAAAAAATCGAGTTTTCGGCCCGGTTCACAGACTTCGAGCTAAGTTTTTTCGGCCTGAAATATATATATATATATATATAATCTTAATAAAAAATATATTTACAAAGTAATTTGTAGGGGCCGTCCCGACCTGATCCCGTTCAATCCGAAACTCAAATCTATAGGGCCGAACTTCGTACTTAGTTATATAGGCATTAAAAAATCCGGTCGGTCAGAACCCGACACCAAAACCATCGGCGAGTGCTGTCCGGTCCGACCCGATTGACATCCCTATATACTTTACTATGGATCACTTTCTTTTGGATAAATGGAATACAATTTTTTTTCTTCCAGCGTCAACAATTATACATCAATATGAGAAACTATACGTATATATCATGGTATAATGAGGAGCAAGTGTCCCATTAATTCCATATGTGCGTAGATCCGCTTCTATTATACATCCATATACACACCCATATATGTGTGTACATGTATACCTCTTCATTCTCTGTTTCAAAATTCAATACTCTTGTAGGGTAAAAATATCAAAGATCCTGCTCTAGCTTCGAACCAGCTTTCTTTGTAACGACCTCTTGTAATTGGAACACAAGTAGGGACATGTTCCATGGTAGGGTGTTAATTTTATCCGGAAACCTAATTCGAGTCCATCCGAAAAATATTGGGTTTCGAGATTAAATTTATAGACCAAAAAAATTTCAGGTTTCTAGGTTAAAATAGAGTTTCGGACCGATCCGAAAATCCGATTTAGTTTTTATTAAAAAAATAAAAATGAAAAATATATCTGTGCATAGTAAGGATATTAGATAGGCCGGTTCGACCTAGAGCCCCGGCCCTATAGAGTTGAGTTTCGGGTTTGATTCTACAGACCCGAAAAAATTTGGGTCGGTCCAAACCCGAACCCAAAATCCTCAGCTCGAGTGTTGGATCGGCCCGTTTATTATTTCATGGGTTCAAGTCTTAAATCTCACTGCTGTTGTGGTTTTGAGGTTTGCAGAAACGCATCAGAACCAAAACCACTAATAAGCTCAATCTCAAATCTCTAGGGTTCCAAGAATGTAAACTTGTAAACAGAACTATACCACAAACTTCACTGGCTGCTCGTTCTTTTCCCGTTAACACGATATCGACGAGGCCTTGCCCTGGTATCGGTAGAAGAAAGATAAATCTAGGGCAAGCCACGACGAGTACTAAATCCAACCCGTGACCTGATCGTAATACGTTTCTAATCACATGAAACTCTCTTAGTTGATGTTCATAGATTCAAACAGACTATACATATTGATTTCCTCCTAGGGATGAATCATCATGGATCTTATTCTCATCATTCTCACCAGAGGGTTCTCGCCTAACCTCTAAAAACTTCTTATAATTCAATGAAGCGAAACCAAAATAATGAAGAAAAGATTCAGAACCAAGTTTACACATGATTGGTGGTGATGTTTGACATCAAACACAGAGAGAAAAACCCGAGAACTTGATTTTTCAGATAATTTAAACAAAGGATAGATCAATCCCAAGAGTGACAAGAACTATAATTGTTTCAAAGATGAGATTGCAAACCCGGGTTTATTTCTTGTTGTTTCCTTTGCCTCCTCCTGAATTCCCTCCAGCATCTGCTTGAGCCGCCTTCTTGGCCATCTTCTCTTGCAAGGCTTTTGCATCCCTGCAACACAAGAAGCAACAACAGCAAATATCTATCAGATACAAATACAATCCACCCATGGCAAGAACTTGATGCGTCCCACTCCCACATCGAGTATATGGATCCATTCTAATATATAAGCAATGACTAAACCTTAGGGTTCATGTTCACATCATAACCGAGTTAGTATCTGCCAATGAAAACAATATAAAGCTTCGTTTTTTCGTAGGTTTTGATACCTTTCACGGCGTTGCTCGGGCGTCAGCCCATCATCTTTGTTCTTTCCCTTGCCTGAGGTACGAGCCTGAGATCTCTCACGGTCACGCTCTCTCTGGTTACCTCGTGCAAATTCACATCAAACCAAGCAGCAACAGAGTCAAAGGAAACAAGGATTCCGATTCTTGAATAAGCCACAGAGACTATAATCCACAAACCAGACACGAATTAACAACAAATGGAGATAGAAAACCCTACACCTGTTATGATCTGAGGACGAAATCAAGAGAGATGTCCTAAAGAAACAAAAGAGCATGACTTTTAAGAAACACGGTCTTGTCTCTAGCCTAATCTAGAAGCCGATACGAACGACCGAACAGAACGACCCGACTATGAATTTCAGCCAAAATCAGATTCACACAACCAGATAATGAATGAAAAGCAACACAATTCGAGGCCATCAGTACAGAAATTAAGTAAATTTGCTGTTTCTCCTATTCGGGCATAACCAGAAACAGACAAGAATCCCAACATATATGATACAAAACGAAGATTATCAAGTAACCCATAGGAGGAAACCGCAAACCCTAAACTTCAAATCAATCTGATAAGAAAAAGAACCCCGCTTTGAGCGAAATCGAGTTCGCAAAAACCCTCCAAGAACAGAGGAATTTCGATATGAAAACAATCGAGCGAGACCCAGAAACTATAACGAGATCGAAATCTATCGATTGAAACACAAAATTAAGGAGTAGAAGGATATGAGTCATGATGAATCGAATCGGAGAGATCCGCGCAGCGAGCTAACAAGCGATCCGGAGAAGAACGAAAGTCAATGACAAACAGGGAGAGAGAAAGGGAAAGATAAAAGAGCAGTTTTTATAAGGCCAATTTCACGTTTCTGCACATTCACAAAATAAGATTTTTTTTTAAAAAAATAAATGAATTTTCTTTTTTCTTTTTCTATTCGTTTTTTTTTCAAAGAAAGAAAAAGAACTCCGATCGAAGACTCCGCCATTGCAATCAATCATCAAATCAGAGCTCTGCTCACATCTGTTGGAATCTATGGCGAAGAAAGGTGTTCCCGATTGGCTGAACAGCTCCATGTGGTCCACTTCCCCTTCTCCCGGCGACGATCGCCTCCTCCGCCACTCCTCTTCAGCCGTATCTCAACCCATCGTCGAGATTTCCCCGTCGCCGTCGCCGCCGCCGCCACCGCTTCGTGTTTCTCCTCCGTCAACTAAGTCCGCCGCACCAGATCCGCCACTTCCGGCTCCTCCTCCTCCGGCGAAGACCGAGTCGAACGATCAGCGGAATGGGAGCGGTAACGCCGGAGGTGAGAACTGGACTCCGGAGGCTTCTCCGGTGGGGGATGTTTCTCGGCAAGCACAGCTCTTGGCGGAGGTTAGTGACCGCTTTTGCTGCTCCTGAGAAGAACACAACCTCGTATTTCTGTCTCTGGGAATTGCATGTTGTTGATTGTTTTTACTTTATCTGGGTGTTTTTAGTTATCCAAGAAGGTGATAAACTTGAAGGAAGTGAGGAAAATAGCTTCTCAAGGTCTACCTGATCATGCTGGCATTCGCTCAATTGTCTGGAAGGTAATGTATTTTGGACATTTCATAGTTAGGCTCCTTGAATTTGGGAAGAAGATGAAAGAGTCATGTTAAAATTTTCTCCTCCAGGTGAACTTACAGAGTGGAGAAATGTATAATATGAAACTGATAGTATGCTCATGACTGATGACAGTGTAGTCTAGTTTGGGTTCTTCTGTTTTCCTTGAATCTGCCACTTCTTCCACAGTACTCACTTGAAGTCTATGGTGCATTCTTTAAATGTTAATTTGGATTTTGAACTAGGAATAGAGGCTTTCCATTGCCAATTCTGTTAGTTTGCTTCAGATTATTCTATTGACCATGGCAGCTCTTACTCGGTTATTTGCCACCTGATCGCTCCTTTTGGCCCTCTGAGATGGCTAAGAAACGGTCACAGTACAAGCAGTTCAAAGAGGAGCTTCTGATGAAGCCTGTAAGTCCGGCTTTCCTATTTGATGCTTGTTCACTTCAATGATTGCATGCAATTATTGCTATTGTAAAATATGAGGAAAATATAACTAATTTATACACCCTGTTGAATCCTTTGACCATACTATGGAGAGATATGGTCAAACTTCTGATTAGAGTATTGCGGTTTTGAAAGCATGATTGTGAGCTAGATACAGTAGCTACTTAGCTTCATATCTGTGACTAGAGCTAAAAGAATATATCGGGTATTGGCCATTATACCTGTCATTTGGCTGAATGTAGATGAGACTATCATGGACATCCTATAGACCTGGTGATTTTGTTGAATGATGCTTTTTACTGTGCTTTGATAAAGTTGTTAGAGAAGAGCCATTAGGATTCATGATTTTATCTGAACCATGAAGTTTGAAACTCTTAGATCTGTATATAACTTGAGAACTCGAGAGCTAAGCAGCATTATATCTTGCATTGGACTAGCCAGAATGATATAGGGTCCTTGGGTGTGATATTGCGTTGAGGTATTCTTAAGAGTTAATGACTATAAATAACTGTGTTCACTGCCGGTATTTAGGTGCTTATATATCTGGTCCACTGCCCTTCCCTTGTGACGTGTTTTTGTTTTCAATTTGAGATTACCGTTTGTTGTTAACTGTTTTTATGGCTAACTAGTCAGAAATAACGAGGAGATTGGATAAATCAAAGGGTCGTGATAGTAATGAGCCAAAAAATGAAGGCAGTGGTGTCCTTTCAAGGTCAGAGATAACTCATGAAGATCATCCCTTAAGTCTTGGAACAACAAGCACATGGAATAATTTTTTCAAGGTATTTGTTGGAGAAACTTGGTATCAGATTTTTACAGCTGCGCTTGTCTATGATATCAGATATAATATAATAACTCATGAGGAACAATAGTCTTGGAATAGGTTACTATAACTCTCAAAAACGCTTCCCACAGAAACTGCAAACTGAAGTTACTAATACCGACTTTAATACTGTTTAGGACTCGGAAGTCATGGAACAGATTGACCGAGATGTAATGCGCACTCATCCAGACTTACACTTTTTCTCTGGGGATTCAGTAGCTGCAAGATCTAATCAGGTGAAGTTTTGGATACCTCTATTTATTTACACGACAGACTTTCTGGGTGTTTCACACATGTTCAGTGATAGAGTTTGGGGTCATTAACATGTGTAACACATGATCAGGATGCTTTGAAGAACATCTTGATCATTTTTGCGAAGTTGAATCCTGGCATCAGATATGTTCAAGGGATGAATGAGATTTTGGCACCCATTTTCTACATATTTAAAAATGACCCCGATGAAGGAAATTCAGTGAGTAAATGCCCGTTTCCAATTTTCCTTTTCATAAATTGTATATACCCAAAGTTTTGTTGCATTCTTTTGCAATATATTCCTTTTACTTACTGTTGGCCTTTTAAGTTATGCAGGCCCATGCTGAATCAGATGCATTTTTTTGTTTTGTTGAACTGATGAGTGGGTTTCGAGATAATTTCTGTCAACAACTGGATAACAGTGTCGTTGGTATTCGTTCCACTATCACAAGACTTTCACAGCTCTTGAAGGAGCATGACGAAGAACTTTGGCGTCATCTAGAGATCACAACAAAAGTAAGTTACCCCAAAAACCATTATAATTCTTTTGCCCTCTTGATGGTTCATCAATGACTTGATGCTAATAGGACGTGTTATCCTTATATTCTCACTGGTTCAGAGCTAGCATGAGTGCATGCCGAAATTTTAAGCGTGAAGCATTGCTTGCAAACCCTGCAAAATGTTTGGTTCTCTGTATGCTACTTTTAATCATTTCAGGCTGGTGAATATTGAGACACATGTATAAAATTTTCAGATAAATCCACAATTTTACGCGTTCAGATGGATCACTCTCCTCCTGACCCAGGAGTTCAACTTTGCAGACAGCCTCCGAATCTGGGACACACTCTTAAGCGACCTCGAGGGTCCTCAGGTACTCTATAGTCTGTTACCATCTGGATTCTATCAAGGTTTTTATTTTTTATTCTGAAACAGAGGATGCATCAAACAAAGATCTATCTCTAAAAATCTTAAAATAATTTTCTTGGAAATCATAGGAATACAGGATAAAGGTTTTCTATAGCTTTGTTTAGCTGGATCAGAAAATAAGATTTCTTATGGTTGTCTCGAGATATAGGACGGAATGGACGAATTTTTTAGCGCATTTTTCTGCTATCTGTTCCCATAGGGAAAATAGTGCCCCGATATCTGTCGACATAAGCATATGCAGGTAGGTGGCGTTTAACAGAAACCTCAAAAAATGAATCTCGATTTGAAATGTTATGATTTTGTTGAAATGATTACAGGAGAGGAGTGTGATCATAGTGATTAGTTTCTGATTCCATGAGAAACAAACCCTAAGAGATTTCCATTCCATGTAAATGCAGGAAACTCTGCTTCGGATTTGCTGTGCGATGTTGATTCTAGTTCGAAGACGTCTTCTTGCTGGAGATTTCACGTCAAACCTCAAACTTCTCCAGAAATATCCTCCAGGAAACATCAGTCATATGCTGTACGTGGCGGACAAGTTACGGTCTAAATCTTCAGGGTAATAATTACTTGCTAACCAAGAAATCTCATCATCTTTCCAAACCCTAATCCTCCTCTCTGTATATATATATATATATATATATATTACAGTGTAGATGCTAGTTTTCTTTGCCATAACTACACGGTATCGTCTTGTGTTAAGTGGGTTGAGTATTGCATCGGATTGGGCATCGCCTGGACAGAGTTTAGGGTTGTCTTCTTCTTTGGGTTTCTTGTTTTCGTGCGCGTGAAGTTACCCAGATGAGCAGGGCAAAGCTTTGATCCTTATTAGGGTTAAGTTAAAAAAATCCTTAAAATTGTCACTTTAATTATAGTAGTTTACTAGTTTCTTCGATTCTAACGCAAAATCCCTAAATTTTTTAAAAAACTAAGTTTAAAAAGTTGGTTGATATTATTGGTCAAGTTATATTTGGATATGAGATTTTTTTTGGTAGAAAAATTATATATATATATATTCAATTTTTTTTATTGTTTCTATTAGAATTTGGTTCGGTTTCACAATAATGTGTTCTTTAATCTCGATTTTTTTTCCTGTACGCTAAATTCACAATAATATTGAAACCAAAATAATTAATATTCTTTTTTTTTATATCAAGATTAACAAAAGCTAAAATGTCAGACCGACAATTCTAAAACAAAAAAAATAAGTACCAAAGCCGTACCGGAGCTAAACCAGCTGAATTTGAAACAGAGAGTCGTAGCCCAACAGTTGAAAAACTTGAATATAAAAAAAGATTCTCTCTCTCTCTCTCTCTCTCTCTCTCTGAGGCAGTCAGTACCTGTGCTAAAAGCCAAAGAGCAGAAATTTTGGTGTCGAGCCCGACGAGCCGTGTCAAAGATCTGAGGCCTCTCTGCTCGACGCGATTCGATTGCGCTTCGACTTCTGCAGTCTGGTGAGGCGATTCTCTGGGTTACTTTGATCCGATTCGAATTCAACGTGTCTGCCTTTTATGATCGTGAAAGAGATGATACGATTCGAGTGTTCGATTTTTACCGTCATTTCTCCGCACGAAATCCTCATATTCTTTTTCTTGGGTAGTTTTGGGTGCAAATTTCACTCCGAAATTTGATAATTCTCTAAAATATGCTCTTGAGGGTTTGATAAGGGATTATTAGATTTTAAATCCTCGATTTTGTTCTTCATCAGTGTCTTTAAGTTCTGTAAATCTGCTAGCATTGTTGGTTATTAGTTTGAAGGTACTGGGAAAGTCGATTCATTTCCTTATCGGGTTAAACAGTTGAGTTGGCCTCTTGCTTGTGTTTGAGTCTCGTATGTTTCATTTGGTGTCCTTGTAACATATGTACTGGATAGTGGATACTGATGCTTATCTCTATGTTTAATTTTTTTTCGGTAATTTTCTCGAAAATGTAGCTGGATTTGAGGTTGCTTTTCAATTGTTTGTGAGATTTCATTCGATGATTTGATCGATAATGTCCCATTCTAAAGGTGATTTTCTGTTAGTGTTTGGATTATCTTCTGGATTTTCTTTTTCAGTAGGTAAGGATTCATAAAAAAGGAGTCCAAATCAAGCTGCAGTTCCTGGGAAGAGAATCACATCACCAAGAGGTACATTGAAATGGTAAGACCAAGAATGTAGCCCTTTCTTTCCTCCTCTATTTGAAAATAAAAAAAAGTTATTGCGTTTCTACACTTTTGAAAGTTTTGCTAGACTATTATAGTTTAGTTAGGTCAACCTGATCCATACTAAAATGAAGTATTTTGGCATTTCGTTGCACTTTGCTATGTGCGCTATCTAGGACGACATCTAAGACAATTCTGCAGTCTAATATATGGGCATCTTGTCGTAGAAGAGTAATTTTTGGCGAATATGAAAACTCGTTAGGCTTTATGGCTTTCATATTTTTCACTTGTACTTGCAAAGTAAAGGTGACCTTTAACATGTTGAGTTTGTTTCGAGCACTTCCAGCTCAAGAACTAAAATGTCCAACGAATTCTACTGCATGTTATTGTTAACTTACTTTTTGAAAGTAGCCACTTCCTGTTGGATCTCTGATGTTTCAGGCTAGCTCATTAAGGTTGTATCTAGCATGTATAAGAAATACACTCGAGGCAGCCATGTGCTTACAGGTATGGATGATTTTGGGTTTGCAGTTATTGTTGCATAGTTGTCAAAGTTTCCATTTTTATGGCTACATATACTTTAGATATTTATAGACTTATTATTCTGCTTCATCTCTCTCGTAACGACAACTCCAGTGGGTTATGCACATGTGAGTTGTTTACTTCCTTGTTTATGGTACTTTAGACTTAATATACCATGATTTATCACTTTTGCTTCTGCCATTTTATCTTTTAGTGTCTGATGTTAAATGTGGAAAGCTACATATTTCGTTCCTAAACAGGCTAAACTAGTAGTGGATGAATGGGGCTAAGTGAAATCCTCATGACAAGATACTGTTTGCATGGTATTTTGCCTGAAACTTTTTCGTTTTGTCTGTGATCTGCAGAATTTTCCTTGTCAAGAAGTTGAAAGACACAATAAACCAGAGGTTGAACTAAAGTATGTAAGCAGCTTGTATTTTACCAGCTTTTATTTCTCATGCTTAAGTGCTCGAATGTACTGCAAATGTGTATTATATTTTCTGCAGTCTTCTTGTTTTTTTTTTTTGTTTTTTTTTTGCGATATCTCACTTCAAGTAGTATGATGTCATGCTCACTGATCTATTTTGCTAACTTTTGCAGGACCAGCCCGGAACTTTTACTAAATCCTGTAAGCTGTTCTTGTTCTCTTGTCAACTTTTGACATTGATTAACTATGTATTTTCTCCTTTGTTCTTCTATTCTGCCTGCTGTGCCCCTGAAAACCGAGAACACACCCATTCTCCCACCCTTTCTAACGGCAATAACTGTTGTAACGGTTGATGCTTCTATTACATGTGAATTTTGTTATCTTTCCATTTCCATAAATGTGGTGATTGATTCTGTTAATTGCAACTTTCAGGTTGTGATATGTCGGAATGAGGCTGAGAAATGCTTGATAGAAACCTCCATAAATTCACTCCGAATAAGCCTCAAGGTGATGATGGATCATATCTAGATGATGAAATTCTTGAAGAACAACAACTTTGATTTCCTTGCTTCTTACTTAGTCATTACTAATGTTCATTTATCGCAACTATGCAGGTAAAGCAAGCGGATGAACTTGAAAACATACTAACAAAGAAGTTCCTTAGGTTTTTGTCCATGAGGGCAGAAGCCTTTCAAGTATTGAGGAGGAAACCAGTGCAGGTGGGTGTATACGGTTTGATAGATACCGTGGGTATGTAAGAAATTGCTTCTCAAATCCTCACTGGCTTTGCCTGTTGTTAATCAGGGCTACGACATTAGCTTTCTTATAACAAACTACCACTGCGAAGAGATGCAGAAACAGAAGCTTATCGATTTCATCGTTCAATTTATGGAGGCAAGTATTTCTCTTCACCTGCTTTTTGATGGTTCCCTAAAGTTAGTCACTTTCCATTTTGATCGATCCCAATGACATTGTTAGTATGACGGGGCAATCGGGGGTCGTCATTACTTGCTTCCTCTCGTGAATCGGTCGTTTTCTATATAGAGTATGACCGGATATAACCTGCGTAGGGAGTAGTGACCAATCGGATTAATGAATGAAACTGTATCGATATGTTTCTCAGTCTTGTCTGAAGCAGAGAAGTGGCTTTTGGACAAGAATATGTGACTTCTGTTTCTGTGAGCAAGTGCAGGATATAGACAAGGAAATAAGCGAGTTGAAGATGTCTGTGAATACAAGAGGAAGACTTGTGGCTACTGAGTTCCTGAAGCAGTTTATCTAAGGCGATCTCACTGGCTATGTAATAATCTGATACAGTGTCACTCTTTGTATCTTAATATATAACATTTCTAATTTATAAAGTCTTTTTATTCCAAAAAGTTGAAAAAATTGATTTTTGATATTATTTTCTAAAAAATATACAAATTTTGAAAATATTGTCGTATTTTTCAAAACCATTAACAGCGTTATTTGACTTAATTTGAAGTGGACAATTGCCCATAGTGTGTTGGTACATGTGTGAAAAATGCCACGTCAATCACATGAGCAAAAATTTTAAAAATAAATAAATAAATATATAAATTAACATATATATATAATATATATATATATGTGTATGTATGTGAATGTATATAGATCCATATATGTATATTCGTATCTGTATTCATGTGTTTTTAGGAAGACATTATATCAAAAATACCCTGGTCACATGTGACCAATGTGACCGAAATATAGTATGGTCACATTTTGATTTTTATCGATTATAACGTTAAATTTATGGTGATCACACTAATTCATTATGTTCATACCTTGTATATCTTACTAATCATTTGATTAAAACATCATAAATTTAACATTATGAACAATGAGATCAATATGTGACCACACTATATTTCGATCACATTGGTCACATGGTCACAAGGGTAGGTCTTGAACAAAACATCAAGAAGTAGAATTGTCTTGAACCAATAAAATTCGAGTTAAATCTCGGTTTGGTTAACCAGGAACCAAATTTGGTGCCGAACTCGGTAAACCGATAGAGGGGGTAGCGCGGAAGCCAAACTCACCAGGACACGACATAAGATGCCGAGTCTGTGACTCGGTCTTATATTAAGGCAATCTGCCGCTAAACCCTACGCTTCTTCCCTTGTTCCTCTTCCTCTTTCTCGCTTCCTTCCCCAAAGCCGAACAATGCAAGGCAACCGCGACGATGGCCGCGGTGGTTCCAGCGGATACCGTCCTCCGGCGATGCCGCATCTTCCTCCTCTCTATTCGAATTTCATCGTCCAACAGCAACCCCATATACACCCTCTGTTCCAGTATCCGGCGAATTTCCAACGCCCTAACGTCGCCGGATTCTCTGGTTTCCCCTTCGGGAACCCTAGTTTCCATAGTCAGCAGAATCTGAGCTTCCCTCCTCGTCCAATCCCTAGCTTTCCTCCCGACCAATTCGGCGGCGGCGGCGGTAATGTTTTCCATCAAAGCCGTGGACCGAACTTCTCTTTCACTTCTCAGCCGCCGTCGATCAGTGTAGGCAACGCTCGTAGCAGTGGGTCTCAACCCCATGGGGGGAGCGTTAACGTGAACGTGAATGCGAACTCTTCATCGAAACGAAAACGACAAGAGGAAGGTAAGCGAACTGATAGGGCTGTGAAGGAGGCGTGTGAACCTACGCGTGCTGCTGGAGAAAGCGCATCTTTGGTTATAGTGCCTCAACTCCCGTCGAACGATGTAGGGATTAGTGATGGTGGTGGGTCTCAGAATCGTGGTATGGAAGGAGGTTTGGAGAAGTCTTCCTCGAAAGCCAAGCGAAAAGGGGATGTACAGAGAATCGCTAAGGCTGTGAGCGAGGCTCGTAAAGCTATGGTTGCGGCCGGAGAAAACGTATCTTCGACTAGAGTGTCGCAATCGGTTCTGTCGGAGTTAAAGGCCGATTCTTGGCGCTCTTTGGGGATGCAGATGCAGGACGTTCCTTCTCTTCGCCAGCTTATGGCCATTGAAGGCAAGGTAATGCCCGACAAAGTTGATGTCTTGTTTAAAGAGGCACTTTCTTTGTTTTTCTTGATGTTTTGTTCTGATAGTCGGGAGTGCAAAGCTGAACTGTGAAGTAGTTTTCCTTCGTGATCTCGGAACATATCTATTGCAGAAACATAATTAATTTTATGCTCATGTTTACTCCTTTTTCTCTCAATGTTTTGAATGTAATCATCAACTTGCTTCATCTTTTTTTGTTTTTTTTTTGTGTCGCGTAGATAAACGCTTTCATTCACTGTTTCGTTGGGGCTAGAAAGATTGTGACACTGCATGATTTGGAAGTGGCAATATGCAGAAGCGAGTTTGTTGATTGTTTTGATGATCTAGATTTGGGGCCCTTGCGACAGCATCCACTTGTCTTGCTCTATTTTCCATTCTTGTCCGGTGATATTGGTCCCGTTCAGATCACTAGTGAGGAGATAATATCATTTCTTGATAGCTTTCTGGCTACTCATGAGCAAGATGATGTTAAGCTTGATGAATTTCTCAATTTTGTTGCCAAGAAAAAATCAGTTGTGAGCAAGGAAAATCTTGGTGTGCGTATTCAGAGCTTGGGGTACGTATTTACTACATTTTCATCTCTTCAGATAATCTAAACTTTATTATGACTTTTTCTTTTCGCTTTTTATTTATCTTTGGGGATATGGTAAGTTTGGTTTAATACACTATTTCGCTTTTACTAGGAAATAAATTTTGATTAGTGGTTGCTGAATGTCAGTTTGAGAGCTGGTTTATGTTTGTAGAACTGTTGAATCTTTTGGCCATGTTATTGTCTGCTTTTTTTTTTTTTAATATTTTATTTTGTAGGCCTTTGCTCTCTATGAGTGGCCGTAAAATTTCTAATCCTGGGTTGAATACTGAAATGTCTATGAGGGCCTAGTGATATGGCTGTCTTACTTTCTTGGTACGTCTTAAAGACTACTCTCTTATCTGCGTGTCCAGTGTTTGAATTCTTCTCATTTATGGATTTGGTCTTTTGAATGGAATTGGCTTGCAGCAGCTTCATATTATCTTCCGTTTCCATTGCTTATTTTGCACTTAAAATACTTATCAAATGCTTCTTCTTTTCAATTTTTCTGTTCTCTATGTAATTTGAATATGGTTATTCCATGTGATGTGTTGTCCTAGATCTCTGGTATAATCGCTTGCATCTGTGCTCATTTTTTATGCATTTGATTTGGGTTATGGGGTTGGTTCATTGATTCTATTCTCAAGTTTTATGTAGTATAACTACATGAGCTGAACACGTGTGGTTGATATGCTTAATCTCATTTTATAGGATGTATGTTTCTTTTATTCGGGATGCCAAGAGAGAAGAAGGGCAAACTTTAAAGATTTTATTGACAGAATTGCACCAGAAGTACTGCATCCTCTCATCAAAGAAACACCAGGAAGATGATAGATCCCGTACTATCTCTGAGCGCGTTGAGTCATTTTCTTTTCGGAACAAGAGTTTTTGTGGCAAGCACATAAGATTTGATTCATCGAGCTCAGATGAAGAAGATAGTATTGCGTACGATGCAAAAACTGTTAGTAGTTCTAATCATGCCAGTACTTGTCCATATCCATCTGTTGCAGAAGAGATGAAACGGCTTGGGTGCTCCAACAAAAAAAGGAAGGCTGGAACTCTTAGTCCTAACAGAAATGAGTTGTCAAAATCGAGTGGGAGGTGTCCCTCTAAAGTACGTAAGGGACATGTGAAACAAGATGTTTCTAAATCAGCTAATGATTGTGATAATGAGGAGGTTCACAGTGCAGATGAGGCTGATTTCACACTTTCTGATGGGGCATTGAAATTGTTTATTTCAACATGGAAGGACACATGTAAAGAGCTCAGCGTGGCTGCGGTAAGTGTCTGCTGCATGTTTTAAAATTGAATGAAAATTTGCAATATTGATGAGATAAATGTACACAGGTCTGAACTCTAGTTAAGAGATGCTGTGGGTGCCTGTACGTTTATCCTTAATACCATTTTCTTTATACTTTTCATTTCTGTTTTTTTCTATTTGGATCGTCTATTTCTTCTGTAGGCGGTTGAGAAAATGTTGCGGTTTTACAACTTTGGGGACGAAACCAAAGCTCAAAGGAAGAGAGCAAAAGTTATGTCATCATTTCCATTTGTTGAACTACTAAACGTGATGGTGAGTTAGGGGTCAGATCCCTTTAGTTTAGTTTTTTTCTCATGCTTGGTCTGTGTTAGTGGTCAGATTCTTTTGACTTGCTTCATTGATCAGCTTATTCGTTTAAAGAGTTTGTTTTGTGATCTCAGTTAATATTTCCTTTGTCATTCATTGCATGGTTTTAACAAGTTAAATATGGTGTGATTTTGGTTGGCAAACTCGCAGGAAACAGTTGTTTCTTGTTTGTTTACAAATGCATTATGTTCGGTGTTTATTCATATGCTGGTGGGGAGTCCACCATGCTAAGATTTGCTTTCGATCTGCATGTTACTCTTGGGCTAAGGGTGCATTTCTGCTGTGGAAATGTATTTTACCTTTCTATATTTTCAAATATATTTTTTCCTCATTTGGTCAATCTTAAGAGAATGAAGGCTACATGATGTCTACAATGACAGAGCTGTCTCCTTAATCCAATTCCCGCTTATTTATTCTTCTGTTTTGCTTTTGTTTTCGCTCTTCCTTTCTTTTCCCCGTTGATGGGAATTTCTAATTATTTCACCATGGGTTGGAATTCCTTTCAGTCTGCAATATCCCCATGGAGAATCCAAAGACCTGTCTTGTTTGAAAGTCTGTATTAGACCATTTTCAACTCCTTTTTCTGGTTCGTTTTGTTTTAACTTTTAGGTAGTGCCTCTCATGGGTGATCTATTCTTCTTATTCTTTTTGTCTTTTTTTTTTCTTCTGATTTTTATGGTTCAATTCTCTTTGCTCTCATGTCGGGACTTTGGACCCAGTTGCAATGTTTTTGTAGTTGAGTTATGCTGAGGCAGAACCTAAGGCTTCCAGACCTCTTAGCTGTTTTGAGGGGCATGATTCAGTTGTGGATGCTTTGCTTCTGTAATTTTCCTAGTCCAGCTTCGCTCTTTGATTCTGCATGTGCAGATTACCATATCATTGTGGCAGGCTGAGAAAGGTTAAAAAAATTACATTCCCTTCATCAATTCGAATCTTGTGCTCCTCATCACTGTAGTCGATTTCTCTCCTCTCCGTTGTTTCAATTCTAATGAATTAATGGAAACTGTCCAGCATCTCCTGTTAGCTGAAAATATTTTCTGCTGATGGTTACAGTTCCATGTAATACTACGAGTCAGAACCTTCGGAAAATGTTTTCTCTTTGCTTTTGAAATTTTTGTGTGGGAGTGATTGAACTTGAAGCCTGGTTGTGTGTGAAGACTCAACTGCTCTTTCTTTTTCAACTACTTGCAGCCTAACATTTATTGTCACCTATTTTGTATCATTGTTCTGGAAATGTCCTAATGTGTTTCCTCAAATTTCTTTGAAATGGATCTATTATTTAAGGAATAATCATATTAGTCCATGCCATGAGAACAATAAGGAGCATTTCTATATTTTGAGCGCATTCATTTTCAAGCTGAATGATGGGGGGCTGGTTCTTTGAAGCTACTTCGCTAAATTTGCCCATGGCACTGCTGCAAAAGTTTGTGGTGGCTAAATGGCAATCTATCCATTGCCAATATCGCTTCTCCTATTTCCCCTTCATTTTACCTGGTGTTTTGTTTACAGGTAATATCGATGAAACACGGAATGTGGGATAGCATTTATGATAATTTAAAAAATATCAGCCTAGATGATATGGCTAATCCAGATTCTGGAACTGAAATCTGTGATACTAAGCCAAATGAAAAACACGAATCAAACAATAGCCTGCATGTTGCGTCTGGAAAACCAAGTGAGTATCTATTTGCTTAATCGCTTCATCCAATATCTTCTAGTAACTTTGTGTAGCATGTTTCTTTTCTTTCTTAATTTACTGCATCTTGTAATATTTTTTCTTGTGTTGGCTGGACTGGAAATGGGAAACATGAGTTTTATCGAAGTAGGTGAGAAAACATTAGTATGCTGAGTAACAAAGGCACAGGTTTTATGCTCTCAAGATCTCTATCACCAAGTATATATTATTTTCTATATATCTGTTCACACTGCTTAGATTCTGAATGTTTGTTTGATTATTCTTTTTGGCATCCGCTAAGTGTAGTCTACACTATAAATTCCGTACGCATGGATACATCATGTTGCACCATGGTTCGGAATACACTGGGGATTATCTTCTGATTGAGATATTTGAATTAGCAAAAGTTCTTTAAGAATTGCTTATCTGGTAAGCCTTCATGTTTGTCTGCCTGCCTGCATGATGAGAGCTGGTTAAATTGATCTTTCAGGTGTCAGAGTTGAAGAAATTATCAGAAGGATTTCGTTGTACTTTGACCGTGAACTTTCTGGAGAGAAGTACCTTAATATTTTTAACAGGCTACACAATTGTGGGCTGTTTTTGGCAGAGCAATTTCAAGTACATGACTTTGAGTCCCTTGGCTGGGGTGGGTTTTTCAATTTCCTAGAAAAACATTTATCCATGCTACCTATTCAGCTGCAGAAATTTCTTTCTAGAGAAATGTGTGAAGGGTTTCCACTGGAGGTCCTCATGCATGAGAATGTGTTGACCGCCTTACTATCTCAAGCTTCTGAATTTTCAAGTAGTAATGTTATTTCGAAGCAGATGGTTTCTGCATTGCTTGCAAGACAATTTCCATCAAACGATCTCAAAGTGGTAGAAAAAGACTTAATAGAAAATTTCACTGATATTATTGGTAGCTACAAGAACAACATACTTCCTAAACGTGTTCTGTTTTCTGCTACATTGTTGGGAGCTGAAAACTTGTTGGGTTGTGGAGGTAAGGATGCAGAAGAATCCTCATCAGTGGAAACTGATATTGAATCAAGAGCCAGCCCTCTCAGTTCTGTTGCGTCAAAAGATGCACTTGATGTTTTGCTTAGGGCACCACTATTATCAGACCTGAACTCTTGGTGCCACTGGGATCTTAGGTTTGCCCCATCTCTTGGTCCTCTTTTGGGGTGGTTGTGCAAGGTTAATTTGAAAGAGCTATTGTGTCTGGTGACGAGGGATGGTAATGTTATCCGGGTGGATCCTTCTGCTACAGTGGATTCGTTCTTAGAGGCTGCTCTTCAGGGTTCTGCTCATGGCACTGCTGCACAATTGTTGTCACTGATATCATTGAATGGAGAGAAACATCTTCCATTTTCCCTTCTAAAATGTTATGCAAAACGTGCATTTGAAGTTATTTTTAATAACCATTTTGAGGAGGTGGAACTATATTATGATAGGAAATCCTTCGTGCCCGTGCAAGGGCCGGTAAAGCTCAGTGGTGCTTCGAAGGTGGAAGTTGAAGAACAAAAAACTAAATTGGAGAAATCTGGCTATGCTGCTTCAAAGTTTCTTCTTGATTGTCTTGGCCATCTGCCAGCTGAGTTTCGCGGTTTAGCTTCTGATGTCTTGCTGTCTGGCCTCCGATCTGTGATTAAAGATGCTCCTGTCAAAGTGTTGTCAGCATGTGAGCAAACTGAGCAGCGAATCATGCTGCATGATGCTGGATTATTGCTAGGCATAGTTGAGTGGATCAACGATTACCACTGTTTTTGCTCTTCAGATACTTCCAACTCTGGAAGAATGGAAAATGCTTCATCCATCCCAGATTCTTGTACAAATGTTGGGCAAAAGGATTTTATGGAACTTTCTCAAACTGAACAACGACATATGATCGTACCAGAAGAATCTCTAGAACCTTGTTCCGTAACTGGTGGTTTGGAAGCCGTTGATGATTCTGTTAGCATGACTGTCATCCAGATGACACCTGAATTTTATGATCCCCCTGCCTCTGTCATTGATTCAATCAGGCGGGATGAGTTCGGTCTAGATTCAAATTCTCCGGGTGCAGAGAATAGCATGTTGCAGAAGCAGCATGCTCGCTTGGGAAGAGCACTACAATGTTTGTCCCAGGAATTGTATTCTCAGGATTCACACTTTATCCTTGAACTTGTGAGTTCCCTGTCCTTGTTCCTTTGTTACTTGTAGCTTTTGGGAATCTAACATCATTGATGGTATTTTGTGCTTCTTGACCTAGCATTTCACTTAATATTGCTACTCTCATTTCTAGACAGTGGCTCTGGATTGTCGCCTGACTAGCTATCCTAGAATGTATATTGTATCTGTGTGAATAGTTGTGTAATTGGTGGGCATGCAATCTTCTTGCCAAGCCGTGGAAATCTGTATTTTCAGTTTCCTGACTTTTCATGTGAGATACGATCTGCATTATTATGGATTTGTAGCTTTTTGAAATGATTGTCTCAGACAGGAAGTTAGAGTAACTAGCAGGCTACTGCTCAATGGGTCTCTTAAGTAGATGTGTTTTTGTTAATATCTTCTGTTTAGGATGATCTATGACGGGACAACATTAATTGTTAAGTAGATGTTGTCTTTATTGATATTCATGTAGGATGGGAGAGATTTATGAGCAGTTTGATATTTTTCATCCCTGATCGACTGCTGTGCTTGTTGTTTTAGGTTCAAAATGCTGATGACAATAGGTATCCTGAACTCGTGGAACCAACACTGGCATTCTTTCTTCACAGGACTGGAATTGTTGTTTTGAACAATGAGTGTGGCTTCACCCCTGAGAATATCAGGGCCCTCTGTGATGTTGGTCGATCAACAAAGAAAGGATCTACCGGATACATAGGAAAGAAAGGCATTGGCTTCAAGTCTGTGTTTCGGGTATGTAAAACATTGTTTGAATGGACAGTTCAGTCGAACCTGAAGTCTTTCCTTTCCATCACTTTAGTTTTCTTGTTTTCAAATGTGAGAATACATCTCTCAACAGACCTTGTCTTTTTGCGTTTTTTGGGGATAGACTATTGAAGCTAAGCTTAAATAAGTTTATCGTTTGTGGATTTGAGAATTGCCTAGAGGTTCCTGGCTCTACAGTATGGGACCTACTCGTCATTTTGATTTGAGTTCCCAGACTGTCCACTTGAATGACTTAAACGAAATTCCTTTACAAATGACATTGAAGGATTATAGGGAATTCTTCCACAATCATTGCCTTCTAACACTTCTGTATGATCTCTCTTTTTTTTTCAGGTTTCTGATGCACCTGAGATCCATTCCAATGGTTTTCATTTCAAATTCGACATAAGTGAGGGTCAGATTGGATATATTTTGCCCACTGTAGTTCCTCCATATGACGTTGACTCGCTCAATAGGATGTTATCTGGCCATGCTTTACAGCTGAAGGATGCAAGATGGAACACTTGCGTTGCACTTCCTTTCAGATCTGTCATTACTGAAAGTTCGTTAGTCAATAACGTTGAGCCCATGTTTTCAGATCTTCATCCTTCTTTATTACTTTTCCTTCATCGGCTCCAGTGTATAGTCTACAGGAACATGATTGATGATTCATTCCTGGTCATGAGGAAAGAGGTTGTGAGTGAGAACATCATAAAGGTTTCGTGTGGGGAGAATAGTTTGACATGGTTTGTGGAATCTGAAAAACTAAATGCTGCGAATCTTCGTGCTGATGTGCAGAAAACAGAGATCGCGATAGCATTCAGGCTTGATGAGCTAGAAGATGGAACATACAGATCATGTGTGATTCAAGAACCTATTTTTGCTTATCTTCCTTTAAGAACATATGGTTTGAAATTTATTCTTCAAGGTGATTTTATTCTTACATCATCAAGGGAGGATGTCGATGAGGATAGCCCTTGGAACCAATGGCTGTTGTCAGAATTACCTGGTTTATTTGTGGGTGCTCTGAGGTCCTTCTGCAGTCTTCCTTCTTTCAGAGAGAATCTGGGTAAAGCTGTGTCCACGTACATGGAGCTTGTACCACTTGCTGGTGAAGTGCATGGTTTTTTTTCTTGTCTCACTCGAACTATCATATCCAGATTGAGAACAACGAACTGTTTGCTGCTTGAAGGAGACAACGATCATTGGGTTCCCCCTTGCAAGGTCTTAAGAGGCTGGAATGAAAATGCAAGGGTTCTTCTGAAGGATTGTTTGCTTCAGGAGCATCTTGGTCTTGGGTTTTTGGACAAAGATATAGTTGTGTCAGATTCCTTGTCAAGGGCACTGGGCATCGAAGATTATGGCCCTAAACTTTTAGTTCAGATTCTGTCTTCCGTGAGTCACAAGAAAGGTGGACTACGATCAATGGGCCTTCCTTGGTTATCGTCTTTTTTAACTGAACTCCATAGCTTGTTATTCCATCCTTCTGGGCTTGGTAATTTAGAGTCGGGCGTGGATAGGAATCTTATGGATAGCCTTCGAAAAATCCCATTTATACCCCTGTCAGATGGTATATTCACCTCATTGGACGAGGGTGCAATATGGTTGCCCCATGATGCCACCGGGTTTGATGGTGGCGATGGTTTTGAGGCTTTCCCTATGTTATATTCAAATCTCCGAACTGTAGACCATTCCCTTCTTTTGGCGTCTTCTGGTGATAATTCTGCAGTGGATAATCTTGTGAAGATGCTTTTTGCAGTTGGTGTCCAGAGGATGTCAGCTCATGAAATCATCAAAGTATACATACTACCAGCCTTTGAGGATAGGAGTACAGATACAGCTGACGCTTTGATGGTGGATTATTTATGCTTTGTGATGACACATCTGCAATCTGGCTGCCATGATTGTCACAATGAAAGAAATTACATTATTTCTGAGTTACGAAATAAAGCGTTGATACGGACAAATTACGGATTCAGACGGCCAAGTGAGGCGTTGATTCATTTTGGCGAGGAATTCGGGAACCAGGTTAACATAAAGAGGCTTACAAAAGGTTTAGATATGTTGTGGCATGAGGTTGACAGTGGCTATTTGAAGCATCCAGCATTGAGATCTGATGATTCTGGGTTGAAGAAATGGAGGGAATTTTTCCAAGAAATTGGTATAACCGATTTCGTACAAGTGGTTAGTGTTGAAAAGAGCATTGCTGAATTGTTTCCTGCTTTAAATGGTGGAAAACAAGATACAATCTCATCAACTCCAGAATTAGCTGTTAGAGACTGGGAATCTCCTGAACTAGTTGACCTATTGTCTCTCTTGCACAAAAGTAACAACCATGAAGGTTGCAAGTATCTTCTGGAAGTTCTTGATACGCTCTGGGATGATTGCTACCATGACAAAACTACCGTTAACTCTAATTTAGTAGCCAGTGGTCTTATCGGATCATCAAAGTCTTCATTTATGAGAATTATTTGTGATACTCAGTGGGTAGTTTCAAGCATGAACAGTGGGCTTCATCGTCCAAAAGATCTCTTTCATGACTGCGATGAAGTACGGTCAATGCTTGGCATGACAGCCCCTTATGCAGTTCCAAAGGTATTAGTTCTTCCTTAACATGTGCTTGAGGTCTTTGGTGTGCAACTATGAATTTAAAAGAGTTTGGGAACAGTGAAGAAATTGTTAAGTCTTTGATTCTCTGCATGGCTTGAACTTGTCAAAGTAAATGGATTCTCTTGTTATGTAATCACAAGTTTTCGGGCTTTGTGTGAGTGGATTGATAGGTTGGATTGTTTCTAATTCCTGAAGAAACTTCTATAAACGTTATTGCTACCCTACAGATATCGTAATAGGTGTTCTAGGTCTTGTAACAATCTTTTTCCCTTTTCATTTCCTTTGGTTTATTGCAAAACAGGTGACAAGTACCAAGTTGTTGAATGACATTGGATTCAAGACTAAAGTCTGTCTTGATGATGCTCTTGAAATCCTCGGAGCTTGGGTTCAGTTCGGTAACCCTTTCAAAGCCAGGTATAATCCCACATTAATGTGCTCCTTATCATTTCAGCAAATGCCACCATGAATTGTTGTAGAGTGATTTAGTCTTCCAATGTGTTTTTCATCATTTTCACAATGATTGAAGTTCGTATTGTGAACCATTATCATTCTCTCGGGTCGTGGTTTCTAATGGTGCTTAAATTGTTGTCTTCAATCTTGCAGGATATCTCAAATGACAAGATTTTACAAATTTATGTGGAATGAAATGGCTGAATCAAAACAGAAAATCGCAGAGAAGTTCTGTGATGTTCCATCCATATTTGTTCCGCATGAAAATGGCAGTCGGCAGAGTGATTTGATTTCTGGAACGTTTTTGCCACTTAAAGACGTGTTCTGGAAAGATTCCGCTGCCATTTTCGACGAGATAAAACAGATCGATCCTCAGATTAGCACTGTTGTGGACACATTCGACAGGAAAACATTGTGCAATATTTATCCGGCCCTCCATGATTTTTTTGTGAATGGGTGTGGAGTACCAGAGACACCATCTTTTCATGAACATCTCAAAATTCTGGAGCAGTTGGCACAGAATGTGTCACCTTCATCTGCTGCAAAGACCGTAAGTTAATGGCTAAGTTTAGATCAGTGCCCTTTTTCTTTAATTTTTTTTATCAGTTCTGCTCTTGCTAAATTAGTGTCACTCATTTCATGTGTAGGTCTTCAAAATTTTCCGGAAGTGGAGCGATGATCTGAAATCCGAAAAAATTTCTGAAGACATTTGTCAGTTCAGAGAAAAACTTCAGCAACTTGACTTCACGGTTCTTCCTACGGAAAAAGATAAATGGGTTTCCTTGCATTCCTCGTTCAGTCTCGTGTGCTGGTGTGATGATGAGAAGTTAAAGAAGAGATTTAAGAACAAGGATAAGATTCAGTTCTTATACTTTGGGGAACTTTCCGACGAAGAGCAGCAAATGATTCAAACCAATGTGTCCACACTATTGGACAGCTTGGGCATTCCAAGTATTTCTAAGGTAACGGATTCTTGTCTCGATGTACTGTAATATATCGGATATATAAGCACTTAGATACCCGTATAATCGTTTCTTACGAGCATCCTTCCATGAACATCATTTTTGTAGTTTTAACGTTTGATGTTATGAAAAACGTGGAGGTTTTTTACCCATTTTTTCATTATCTTTACAATGTTTTTATTTTTCAATTTCAGGTGGTAAAACGTGAAGCCAAATACGAAGGTTTGCGAGATAGCGGCCGAATGGATTCACTTGTGAACTGGGCTCTGCCGTATGCACAACGCTATTTCTACACGCTGCATCATGAGAAGTATGTCCATGACGAGAAGTCAGTTTATCATCGAATAAAGCATCTAAAAGTCTTTGTTGTCGAAAAGTTGTGCTTCAAGAATGTCATTCCGGAATATGGCATCAGCTCTAAGAAGGATTCGACTTGCAACTGTCTTCTGCAGGTATGCCGTCTTCTTTTCTGTGTGTTTGGATAGCAATAGTCTCGAGAAAGTTCTATTTTATGCGGATCTTGACAAGTTGGCTCATTTTCTGTAATGGAAGAGTTCCTCTTGTTACTGAATTCGATATGATATCCGATCGGAGACATTACCTTAATGTGTTTCTGATAATATTATGTGTGAACTCGGGTTTTCTCAGGATAATGCTCTGTACACAACACCAGATGTGGATTCACATTCCTTGTTCATGGAACTTTCCTGTTTGTTCTTCGACGGTGCTCCTGATCTGCATGTGGCGAATTTCCTTCACATGATTAAAACAATGGCGGAATCGGGTCTGAGCGAGGATCAAATGGAATCATTCATTGTCAACAGCCAAAAGGTTCAGAAGATTCCCGAGGGTGAAAGGGTCTGGAGCCTCAAATCTTCTTGTAGAGCCAAGAAGAAATCTGGAAAAACAAGCTGGCTAACTGCGACATGCAAAACAGGACAGGGCTCTGAAGAGTTTGTACACAATCAGGTAGAAGAGGAGCGGAACAACGTAACGGATGTTCCTGAGGCAATCGAGGAAGGGTTTCCGATTCAGATCATGGATTCAAGCTTGGCCACTGCAGACAACGGTTATTCAGACATGACTTTACGAGCTGTTGAGTCAAGAACATCGGCTATTCCTCTAAACCCTAACCCTGAATTCAACGAGAGGGATCAGCTTCAAACCGGAACACCATGGGGAGTACAGGCACAGCAGACAGGGAGACTGGGTGAAGCCATTGCTTACAGATACTTTGCAGAATCTAAGGCGGCTATGGTGAAATGGGTTAACGAACACAACGAAACAGGGTTACCATATGACATTGTCGTCGAGGAACAAGGTGGGAGGAAGGAGTACGTCGAGGTAAAAGCGACGATATCTGCTCGTAAGGATTGGTTCAATCTGTCGGTGAGGGAATGGCAGTTTGCGTACGAGAAAGGGGAAAGTTATGTGATAGCGCATGTTTTGGTTGGAAACGAAAACGCCATTCTTACACAGCATAGGAATCCAGTGAAGCTATGCCAAGAAGGGAAACTGAGGTTGTTGATTCTGATGCCAAAGCAGTGAAGGTAGAGAGGTCTGTCTCCTGTTGTCTCCATGAGAGGAAATCCATGCAATTTCAGACAAATGCATCAATGGGGATTTTGCTTGAGGAAACTTTGGCAGGCGTTATCTACAGCGCTCTTTCTTTTTTCTTTTTCTTCTCGTGTTTTAATTATTTAATGGGGTAATCAATTTGAATAATTTGATTAACTTAAACAAATACAAACTGAATCTATTTTTTAAAAACCTATAAATTGCCGTGACTGTACTCAGTTCAGTTGTTAATTATTAGTACGTATCTGAGATAATTAACGTATTGGATTTGCCCATTTATAAACTTAGAAAATAAGTGGATGAAATTTATCTACTAATTTGTTCTAAATTGTAATAAATCAATTGAACTACGTGAATGCTTCGAGTACATGGAGATTCCTGAAAAGCGTTTTAAGTACATTTCAACAGAACAGCTTTGACATTCATGCAGCAAGCATCGTCTCTCAATCAAACGCACAATCTCCAGAGAAATCAAAACTAGATGTGAAAACTTCTGTAGAAAATCAGAGCCAAAACATGAGCAATCTTTCGAATTCAACTTCCGAGTAAAATGTTCCATTCAATTCGTATGAAATCAGTTGTTCAACCTCGTTGATGATAAAAACATTGGTAGGCAGAGGCTTTCTATCGGATTTTACCAGATTTGATGGAAGAGACCTTGCAGAATCCAGCAGAAGTGGTGAAGGGCAAAGCTTTGAAATGAGCAACGAGATTGTCATTGGTTCGTAAATCGGGCTGCAGTGTCTCCCATACTTTCTTCTTCGGGTTCAGTACATCGTCTGCGTCCCCTTCTAAACCCAGGAATTTGACTCGTTCCCCTATCTTTGCCGATTCAGGCGGTTCAACTAACTCGACCTGAAATCCACGAAAGAAATGAATGAATACAACTAACACAACAAAAAAGCCCCGCAAAGATGTAGGGATACTTCACAAACTGGGTATACCTTACTGTCATCGCTGTTTGAAGCCGCAAGAACCATCGCTTGTGATTGAATTCCTCTCATTTTCACGGGTTTTAAGTTGCACAGAACACAAACCATGCGGTTCTGTACACAAAGATCGAGGTTGTAGAGTACTTAGATGAAGAAGATAAACGGAAAAATGATATTGAGGAGAAGGATACTAAATTATTAATAGCAGAGAAAGAACAAAACCTGCATTTCGTCGAGAGGTATATGCTTGACAAGTCCGCTAACAACAGTGCGAGGTTTCTCTTCTCCGACATCGATTTCTTCAATGTATAATGAATCCGCGTCGGGATGTTTCTGGACCTTCACGATTTTCCCAACACGTATATCAAGTCTTGTAATGGTAATCTCGGGTTCAGCAGCCGGCTT